AGGTCTTTGAAGTATATTGTGGCAGTGGTTCCAACTGGCAGATTCTGTAAGATTTCATCATCTTTAAGTGCTTTTCCTTCTGGAATAAATTAAATAAAAATAATGGCTGAATTAGTGGAAAAAGATGCCTAATATACACAAAACTATCCCATGATACTGAAAAGTATTTAATTGACCATTTTAGTGATCTATTTTCCAAAAACGATTAATTTAAGGATGTGTGTCACACTTGTTAAAGTTTAATGTTTTATGTGGGTGACCAAATCAGAATGCATAACATCTTGTAGCAGCAAAGAATTACAATGCTCTTTTCCTATTGTAGGGTGAAGAAAACAAAACTGTTATTAAAGATTTCTGCTATGATAATGATTTTTGGCAGTAGAGTCAACTAATTTAAACGTATTCTTAAAAGTATCAGCTACAGTATATTATGTATTTTATTACAAACATAGCATAGCAATGGTATTATTTAAGAGCAGAACATTCTTCTGTTAATACACAGGGCAGGTATTCCAACATATGGCTTATGGATTTCAAAACACCCAAACAAAAAGACAAAAAAGATGGCGACAGTATAATCCTTGGGTGTAAACCATGTTAAATTAGGATCGAGCCATTAAGATTTTGAGCTAGCACTGCCACATTTCAAATAGAAATGACCCTGTTTTTCTCAGTTACAGTGCTGGAAGGTAAGTGTTAACCAGATGGCACAGATGGCAACTTCTTTTATTTCTGTCATGGTCTGATCACTTCCTCAGTGACAAATGGTTGCTGTTGCTCAGAATAAATGTCTGGCAAAGGTTCCCTTGAAATTGTTTTGGCTGTTCAACTCAAAGGTTTTACTGTTTACAGTTGGGGTTCAAGCACATCAGATTTCATGTTTGCTTGATCAGTGTTTATGCACAACTTTTCCAAGATGGTGCAGAAACTGAAGCTTTCGTGTATAGAAAGCTGTCATAAATTAAGAACATGTGGGTTAAAAGTAAACCTAAATCATATTTGTCTTCTCTTGCATTTGAACTACAGGTAATTTGATTTTGGTTTTTATATAAGAAAAATAAAATGGGCTCTCTTTTAGAGAATATAATGCATAGTGCAATAAAAGATAATGACATGATACAATATGTGATAAGGTGGTAAATGGATATTATCCTAAGTATTAAATACAGTTGACATTAAAGAAGCTGCTATCAATGCTATAATACTTTCATGATATTGTTTGAGGTTTATAAATGATACAAAATACTTGTTTACTGATATTTTTTATTTCTAAATGATCAGATGTGATTTATGCTTTCTTCAATTAACGTATTGTGTTTGATGACCTAGGGACAGTAAGTTGGGCTCTGCTTAAAGACAGTTTGTGTCAATAAATATTTGAAAGTGTTTCTTGAATTGTTTTTGATTAAGAAAAATAAAACTGTATTTGTACCTGTTGCTGCATATTAATGCACTTTCAGACAATGCTAGAAACTTACTTGGATCAAGCTTGAGGGCCTGTCTTGATGGATACCACTGAGGGTCTGGAAAAATATTGATAAAGTTAGACCAGTACTACCACAGAAAAAAATGATTATACTTTGATCTCATTCAGATAGACTGTAACTTTATAATAAAGTATTCTAAGCATCAAGTATCAAGTCAAAGATGCAAGTAATTAAGTCAAGTCCATTGGTATCCTATTTTACAAGATTTTAGTTAGGCCATTTGTAGTAAACCAACACTGGTTCTGCCAGAATTAATTCTCCTCAAAAACGGTTTTGGTAGCAAAGTGTGCATGAACATGCAAACTCCATCCATCCATTTTCTAACCTCATCTTCGAAATCAGTTGGGGGAGCCGGAGCCTGTCCCAGCAAGCAATTGCTGCAAGGTAGGGTACACCCTGGCCGGGACGCCAGTCTATCACACGACAGACAACCACGAACGCAGATATGCACATATTCACAACAAGACCAGTTTTCCCAGAAGCCAATTAACCTACCAGTAAAATCCACATGAACACGTGAAGAACATTCATACTCCACAGCATGCAAACTCGTCAGTATAATTTAATTAGCTTTAAACTATAATAACAATAAATCTTAGTTCAACAGTGACACATTACTAAGACAGACTATGATAAGCAGACTATGGTATAACATCAAATTGTGGATCAACTCAAGAAAGACGTTCCAAGAACAACAACAACAGCAACAACAAGCATTATAAAGAAAATGTTTTGACATCCAATTTCATGACTTTCATTCATGGTTTTGAATAGTAACTTAATTTTTTGTTTATATTCAGAAATCTACATCACATTTAGAATATGTTAACTATTTGTCATTCCTCACATCTTTAGATTACTTAAACCAGCACTTTTTGGTATAATTTAAGATGCACTAGTATTAGGTTTAGTTTAGTATTAGATCTTTTAGCATTAGTTATAGTATGCTCCATATCTTTTTGTGACTTTTAAATTGGAAGAAGATTCAATACCTAGGACAGTACAAACTCTGTTTAATATATAAAAACTCTCATTTTAAATAAATTGTATGATCTTTCTTTACCACTGATATATACAATATATACTATACATAATTCCATGCAAGATTCTTCGCTGTTTAGTATTTGTCTATTGTTTTTTACTCCTGATTTTCCTTCTTTTTGCAGGAGCACAACTCAAAATTGATCAAATTAATTCTTCCATTTTGTTTTACCAAAAATGGAAAGATTTGTATTTTCAAGTTCCCAAAGCAAAAGTTTGGCTTAATGGAAGTGTATGAAGAGGAAAAAATAATGTTGATGATGGAACCCTCAATAGGAGCAGGATAAACTTGCAAGAAATTAACGACTTAATTGGTGTAATGGATTAACTACTGAAATGTTTCCTATTGGCTGTTAATTAAACGGTTTACTTTGTGTTGTCATGATCATGTGCACAAAGACTTTGATCAATATACTGTAGATTCTAGATTGTTAAATGTTTTCTTCTCATCCAGAGTAAGCTGTAACAATAACTGTCAAAGAAGACTATTACTCTAGCAGCCAAAAATACACTTTTGCACAACACTATAGAGTTTATAATAAAATAGTAAAAGTTCACATAAACAATTAAAGTGAAAATAGCTGCAGACATGTCTCATGTATTATGTCAAAGAAAAAAAAAGAATTAGACCATATAATAATTTGATCTAATTATCTGCTCATATGAATTGGCATCAGATTTTTTTTTTTTTAGGTCTGAATTCCTACATTCAACTGCAGGAGAATTCGACAATGCAATGTAATAAGTTTTAAAAAAATCAAGGAAGTCAACCCAAACCATTGAGAAAAAAGAGGGCTTTCCCTTCAGGTTGTAAGAGATTTTTACACATCATGTACAGTATATGAGGCTCTATTGTAACACCTTTACTAACTGCTTTTCCAAGTCAAGGCAATATATTTAATAACTGCTATCATTGACATCTTGATAAATTTGACTTAACATAATCTATATTACTTCCACTCATCTGCATCAGAGGATATGACTGAAAACCTTTCTTTTCCTAAATAATAACCCCGCTTTTTAGTCATTTATTTACGTACTGTTTTTAATTCCTAATGGGAATCTCCATGTGCAAAGGGTTATACATTGTATGCTATATTTACTGGCACAATATGTACATTATAAAGTTTAATTTGATGACTTTTTATATTCCTTCATTTTTCTTCCTTGTTTTGTGCAAGAAAATCCCTAATAAACATACAGTTAAAAACATAATTGTACTTACAGCATTTGTGAAACAGACACTTGATTTCTCCCATAGTAGCATTAGGTTCCACCTAATTGAGTGATAAAGGGGAAAAACATTTAATGCTCTTCACAGAGGATCCTATTTTTCTTCAACATTGTGCTTTGAAAGAGTGAAGACATATTATGCGCCTTTATGGTTCTGTGGTTCCACTGCAGGCCACAAGCTCAACACTAAGAAATAAATCACAACCACTGCTTGACTGTCAAGACTGTACACTATTGGTCAGTAAGGTTAACATTTAGACTTATACCCATGTCTTTCTTAGAGTTTTCACTACATGTGGCACGATAGCAGCTGATGTTTAAACAGTGCTAGTCTATTCAATAAAGGTAATGGTTCACAAATATAGGTACGTGTATCTGTACCAAAGACTTGAAAGGGCTGAAATAAATAATAGTTTTCAATTGTGTTTATATAGTTTGTAGAAAATAATGCTGTCCAATAGACAGCAACATATGAAATGGGTTGTAAAATATGACAGATTTTCTTGCAAAATCCCGATAATGCTATCTCCAGAAATTATTTTGACACCAGTGAATAAGAAATTCAATTTAGTTTCTATAAAATAGAAAAATCTTGAACTTGATAAAAGCAGCCATTCAAATTCGGAAACTCTCTGTAACCTCTTTTAATCTTTCTGTCAACAAGGTAGAACAGAGTTTTCAAGACAATTTCCCAAAGGCAATTGCACTAAAGTAATGACTCTCATTTCAGAGAATAGCTATAAATGCAAATAGCAGGGAAAGTCAATGGCTAGAAAATGAAGGACCTACAAAACACAGGATATGCTTGTTGCACAACTCAAATTCTTTGGGTACATTACAGAGTCTGTCCAACCTGCAGTGTTAGCTATTCTAACCATGTTAACTCATGCTGAGCGCCGTAAAATTATCCCACAAAAGGTAACAGAAACTAAACATATATTTCATAAATCAGTGAGATGTGTTAAATATTTGTGAACAGACGTGTAATTCATACTCCACACTACAGTAGATCAGTCAATGGCTAAGATTTAGTCAAACACGCACTATCCATGATTCATTCCATATGTCTAATAATTCATTAACTTAACAGCTAATATTGTTTAGTGATTACATGCATTTTTACACTTACATCCTTCTTTGATTTCAATAAAATGTTTTACGAAAATTCCCATGCATTTTTCCAAATGAAATGATTCGTCTTTCCTTGCATGTGACCACATATCTTTGCCCTGTGATTCGTGAGCCTGAAAACGTCAACGTTTTCTTACCTTGTCTAGAAAGCATAGCTGCTCCTTTGTCTTGGCATCAAGTATCTCCACCTCAAAGAAAACATAATTTTTGATTTTAGCTGGTTCTCCCAGCTCTGACATGCCTTCTGCACATGTCTTCTTTATAAAGTGAGCAAGGGTGAACAGATCTTTTAATTCCACTGACTGTGCTGGGGCCATTCTCCCTTTTAGTGGTCAAAACCTCTGTGTCCTATGGTCATCTGTGCAGATATACCTTTGTAAATTCTACTAAGAAAAGGAATTTTCTTGGCTCTTCCAAGGAAGCATGCAGCCAAGTGTAGAGGGCTGGCATGTTCATGGTGACCTCATTGATATATAAGCTTATGAAATAGGAGACTGAAATGCAATCGCTGTTAGCTGTAAAACCCTGCCAGCAATGAAAGAATTTGATGGCTGTGACCACAAGAAATATTTAAAAAATCTTTAAAGTATATAAAACGCTTTGCATTAGTATAGGCTTTTTCGTCAATAATATGTAAAAAACTTTTGCATTTGGGAAGTGATTGCATAGAAACCAATGGTTTAATTCAAGATGAAGAACGGGATCTCAGGTTTCATTGCGGCCTGTATGACCATGGTATGCAGTGCACTGCCTTATGTGCTGGGCCACTGGCGTTCTGAACAGCATTGCAGAAGGAAAATCTCTGTCTACAACTGCCACTCTATATCAGAAGTAACTAGGGCATTGCTCTAAATTTATCATACACAAAATAGAAGCTAGTTTGTCATTCTCAAATTGTCCATGCCTTGTGAACAGCATGTATGAATACAGTTGCCTGACCCATTCTTTTGCACTGTGAACACATCTATACAAAAATTAACTGCAGTGTGCAAGTGTACGCATTTAATTAAGGCACAACCTTGAACTACTGTAGAACCCGAACTGGAAGAACCTGGAAGAAACTAAACATGGAAAAACAAGAAAGGAGCTTACTTCTTTGAATACCACAACCTGATGCGATCATTTGGAAGACATTGCAATTTACAATTAATGGGGAACAATTAATTGTAATGCAAATCATTGCCTGGTGTCCCGTCCAGGGTGTACCACTTGCACTTGTTGCTTGCGCCAGAGTAGGCCCTGGCTCCCTCCTGACCCTGAATTGGAAGAAGCGGTTAAAAAATGGATGGATGGATGAAAAACTGTAAGTGTATAGCATTGCATGCAGTTTAAATGCTGTTGTAGTCATAGAGTTTTGTGAGGAGTTAGTTTCCATGCTTTTGGTGTCATAATATAAGAAAGATATCTAGGATTTTATATGAATTTTCCTACTACAATGTTAATACCACACCCAAATCTCTCCATTTTCAAATATTGGAAATTTAGCTGTATTTGAATTACTCTGTAACTGCACTTTACATTTTTAAATGTCATTTCCTGTCTTTCCAGAACTTTTGTTAGTAAATTTAATAAATTGACTCAATAACATTAAATTGTTAATAGATATTTAGGTGGCATTGTCAATAACTTGTCACATTGAATACATCTTGTCAATAATTTGAACATGTACATTTATTTACCTAATACTTATGAGGTTTAAATTAATAAACATACTATGTGACAGACAACAGCCCATCCTCTTAAATATATTGGAAAAACATTATTTGTAAACAATTAGTGTTGAGAGCTAGAAAGAAATCTGTGAAGGCCATAGTTGTACTGTAGTTCCACTACAATATACTTGCGTAGCAGCATGCCTAAGGATCCTTGTAAGGATTCATTGAAGGCAAGTATGTTGTCACTAAATCGTAAATTTCTTAGGTTTAAATGACATATTTACTCTGTAAAAAGTGGGATAAAATATAGCACTAACAAGTCTCAGCTTCATAAAGCAAGTCACCTATAATAACTCACTTTCACAGAAATGTCAATCAAATGCAAAACGCAAATGCTTCTGTGCATTTAGTAAGTGTACCACAAATGTCCAGCAATATATTTATTTAATTTAATAAAAATAAATTATATGGAACCCGTGCTAAGTCATCATTAAAACATCACATTTATCATAGAATAAATATGCTGTATGACATTAATGTATATGCTAATTATTTGAATAAATAGCTTATTATAATACCTTTGAAAACTAAGTGTAGGACAAGCAATAAAAAAT